GGAAAGGAAAGGAAAGGAAAGGAAAGGAAAGGAAAGGAAAGGAAAGGGAAGGAAAGAGGAATGGGAAGGGAAAAGGAAAGGAAAGGAAAGGAAAGAGGAAAGGAAAGGGAAGGAAAGAGGAAAGGGAAGGGAAAAGGAAAGGGAAGAGAAGGGGAAAGGGAAGGGAAGGAAAGGAAAAAGGAATGGAAAGGAAAGATGTTATGGGCTGTTCTCCCACTCTATCCCTCTCAATGCTGCTTTATTCACTCACTATATATATATTCTTATATATATAATATATATGTATACATTATATACATATATATATTCTTGTATATATATAAATATATATATATATATATATATTCTTGTATATATACGAATATATATATATATATATATATATATATATATATATATATATATATATTCTGGTATATTCCCTTCCAGCCCATACAAGAATAAACTTGATCAATCATCATATCAGTATCACCAAAGCCAGGAGCCTTCTGCTTGCCACTCACATCGCAGGAATGGCCCTTTTCCTTGTAGTACAGCGCTGCTCATTTTCAATCCTGCCAGGTCCTAGGGGAAGAGGCCCAAGGGTGACGGCCTAGCTGGCCTTGATACAGGACAGGCATGACTCCAGAGCGTGCTCGATGGGGCTCTGAAGAGTTTCACATTTCTTTGGCACTCCGCCACAAGAAACATGTATGAAAACCCGGTAATATAATAAACTCCCCAGCAGCAAAGGTTTTGAAACTGTCTCAAATTCCAGTAATATTACCATACACGTGACCGTGAGAGGACGGCCACGTAAAAAGCACGGTGCAGTGTGGCTGCCAGGTCGAGGTTCGCGTGGCAGTAACTATTTTCCCTCAGTGAACGTAATGAACTTGCAGAAATGCACACAGCTGTGTCTGCTGTCTGCTCGCCCAAGCCACATGTGAGACTGGGGAACACAGGATCCCCTAACTAAGGTTGTGCTTCGGGCTACACTCCGCTGTGAGGACTTGCAGCGCTTTCTACACTTTGATGGCTCTTGTTAACTGTCCATTGGGCAGAATCCAGAAACACCAGAGAGAAGGCATGGAGGAGATTATCTTGTTTACATTAGCCAAGGGGGGGGGGGGGCTGCCCACTGTTGGTGGGGCCAGTGCCTGGCCAGTGTGAGAACAGAGGGGCAGACACTCACTGCTTTCTGTCTCATGACTGGATGCCATTGACCAGCTTTCAGATCGTACTGGCTTCATTTCCCCTCCCTGACGGACTGTATCTTGAACTATGAGCCACAATAAACCCTTTCTCCCTTTAGCTGCTTTGCTCAGGGTATTGTATCACAACAGGCAAAGAAACTAGGACCCAGCCATCCACGTTTCACCCATCAAATCTCCAACCTTCTCTACCTCATTGCTTTTCTATCTTAGTGAACTACCCCAGCCCTTCAAGGTTCTCCACAAATGCCACTTTCTGGACCTTCACTGATTTTTTTTCCTATGACTGTTCTCAGTGTTATTCAAAACCAGTCATCAAATTTCTATTTCAAGATGGCTTTATCTGGCTGCTTCTATGGTTCCCACTGTATGATTCTCATGGGCTGATTATTTCTGTATCCTCAGTACCTGCCACAATGTCCGCTGAAGTGCAAATACTCAACAAAGCCAAACAAATAAGGGATAATATGGGAAGAAAGGCCACAGGTAGAAAGTGGTTAAGCTGGAGAGATGGTTCAACAGTTAAAGAGTACTGACTGCTCTTCTACAGCACCCGGGTTCAATTTCCAGCACCCATACGGCAGCTCACAGCTATCTATAACTCCAAGAATTGACAACCTCACACAGATAAATGCAGTCAAAATACCAATATATACAAAATAAAAATAAGTTTTTGGGCTGGAGAGATGGCTCAGCAGCTAACAACACTGTTTGCCCTTCCCGAGGTCCTGAGTTCAATTCCTGGCAACCACGTGGTGGCTCACAACCATCTATAATGTGATCTGATGCCCTCTTCTGGCATGTAGGTGTACATGCAGATAGAGCACTCATACACATAAAAATAAATATATCTAAGATTCTGTGAGCCTCTTCCTATAATAATGCAGCATTAAACAGTATAAAAATGTCAAGGAAGAGTGCAGGTCGAAGTAATTGATTAGCATTAGAAATCTTGGAGATGTTTCCCTAAAAAGAAGGCAAACACCCTTGGCTTCAGAGGAAATAGACTTTCATTGCCCCTGAGGGAGCCAGGTAGCAGTTGGCTGAGGATTAAGAGCTAGCCAGGGTCTAATGTGGTCAACTCACTCTTATAGGAGGGGCTATCTCTTAGACTGGCAGAAAGGCTAACTGTGGGGCCTTATGAATCACACCTAGGATTTTGAACTTGAGGCTACCATCACCAGGAAGTTATTCAAGGCTTTGAAAAAGGGAGGTATGTTACAGGCACTGACAGTAAAAAGATAAATATTGGAGGTGGGGCTGGAAAGAGATCCTCAGTGGTTAAGAGCACTGGATGCTCTCACAGAAGACCCAGGTTCAATTCCTACCACCCATATGGAGGCTCACAGATGTTGTAACTCTAGTTCTAGAAAATCCAATACCCAGTTCTGGCCTCCAAGGGCACCAGGCACACATGTGGCACATGTACATTCATGTAGGCAAAACACACATACACATATAATAACATAAATAAATCCTTAAAAAATATTATCAGTTTGAATGACAAGAAGACTAGATAAGGTTGGGCCTCAGTTTCAGGAATCTTGGTGGAGAGGGAGTCCAAGGAAGTCACAGAACTGAAAAAAGGACTCATTAGTGACCAGGCACATGGATAAGATGGGCAAAAACTCTGGTGATAGCACTATGCAAGTGGAAGCCATTGAAGCTGACAGATTCCTCGCTTGGACAAACCACAAAACTCTACCATCACCCGTGACAGAAATGGAGCATGCTGGGAGAAGAAGGGAGTGAATCCTGTTCCCCACCATGAAGCCCACAGGGCATTCGATAGCTACCAGATGGGACTCTGGTGCACGAGGCAAGAAGCTGGGAAGGCTCTATTGGAGGTTTAGACCTGAAATCTTCCCAGGCTAGAGCACCTGCCCCAGCTGAGGGGGGGGGGGAAGGTAGCTCAAAATATTTGGTTTTGTGGGCTAAGAAGGAAGCCATAATATTTATTATTTTTGACTTTGTCTTTCTGTGTTTTGAGAAATATAGAGAGTGTGATCCTGGATGGACTGGTCCCCTTGGAGGAATCCAGTTCCTATAGACCGTAACAAACTCGCCTGCTAGTGCTCTCTTCCACACCTCAACTATCCAAGTCACAACCCAGATGTCACCCATGTCCTTTCCTGGCTTCCGAACCCAGGCTCACTTTTCTGCCCTAATCCCTCCAGGGCCTGATCACAGACAACTAGCAACAGCCTCTGCATCCACGCCAGCCAATAAACCTGCCTTGTCTATAAACCACAATGGGGGCTGTTGCCAGAGTTCTTCCTGCCTTGTCCCAGGAGCAAGTCCACGCCTCCCTTGTGCAGCCTGCCCCCTTCTCTGCACACAGGGGTCAGCCGTCTGCCGCTCTGCTGGCCTTATTATCTTTTAAAGTAGGAACATGCTGCGATTTAAAATAGACGCAGAAATGAGAACATCCGGCACTATGAAAAGAAGCCTTGGGCTGTGAGGCGAACGGCGAACCTGTGCGCTCAGCAGCTGGGGCTGGAGGAGAACACTGCTACGTGGGATGCTTTAAGGGACTCTGCTTTAAGGGACTCACAGGACCACTGAGTGGATCGATGTGTCAGGGCTCTTACTCTGAGCGAATCTGTCGAAGTGTTTTAGGTGTTAGTGGCTATAATATGAAAGATACCGCAACACACCAACACATCCTTTTTATGAGAACAGCAATAGGAATTGAAGATACCCTAGAAATACGTTGTCATTTATTCTCCCTTGTTGATGGGAGAAGGGAAGCCAATATTCTCACTTATCCAGCGTACACATTTACCTTCTATGGGTGGACTCCTTAACTGTCTGGATCAGCCAGTGGATAGATTTTTACATAGTACCCACACTGGAGAATCCTTTTGTTTATGGTTTCGCTCCCTAGGCCCTCCAATGCACATCATATACATTCCTAGTAGAAAAAACAGTGGCTGCATTTATTGAGCATTTATTTGCTCTATGTAATTCTTTGAAACGCTGAGTCTGAAACTGCCTGTCTCATGAGGCAACCTCACGAAATAAGTACTTCCACAAATCTACATTTTTACACAGGTCTAATGTCACAACGCTCACAAACAGTGATGGCTCAGGAGCCAGGCAGGATGGCCCATGCTGGTAATCCAAGGGCTCAGAAAGCAAAGGCAGGAAGATGGCAAAAGCAGAGACTAGCCGGGACTATATAGGAAGACCATCTAAAGTATGGGGGAGGGGGGGAGTCAAGCTAGTGGAACCACAGAGCTCAAACAACCTGGAGAAAAAAAAGCTAAACACCGTTTTCATAAAATTATATGAGGTGCTAACTAACCTGCCCTCTTCCTGGTGTTCTTGTCTGTATAATAAAGTAAATTAATAAACACACACACACACATACATCTTTCCCAACATGGACCTAAAATTACTTGACTCGTTATACTATCGTAAGTGAAGAATGGATCATTTTGCAGTTTTTCTATCCGAAGCATGAGTGACTCAGGACGAGCAAAAAATAGAGTGCCTTGCACTTTCTGCCCTATGAACTCTCTTCATTCCCAGCCCACCCCGCTTCCTCCCTAAGTTCTCCAGGGTCTTGGAGCCATACCTATTCCAAAGACTCTGTGATTCCCAGAGACTTACCCTTAAAACTTGGTGCTCCTAAAGTCACAGATTGGGCACAGTAAAAATGGTGGCAGAGGGAAAGAAGCACTATCTTTTCCACTTAATTTTCCAAGAAAGTATGGAGATACCTAAGCAGAGAGGGGAGAATTCCAGGATCAATGTGGCGGATGGGAGACTACATGGTTCAAGAAACACAATTCCTCCCAGCTGGAAAAAACAGCCAAGGAGTGGGAGAACCCCTCCTTGTCCAATAGATGAGGGTCCCCAAACAGGCAACCTACACACTTAGCTGTAAATACCAGACCCCCCCTCCCCCTCCCACTTCTTCTGTTTTAAAATTCTGCGGCCAATGAATACGGTCCATTGTGATAAAGCCAAATTCAAGTCATTCCATTTCTCATTAAAATGGGTTTTCAAACCCATACTAGCTCATCTGGGGAGACTTTGATTTTTTTTTTTTCCTAATTATTTGGTGAGCTAAAGGCCACAATCTTCATCCTACTTTAACATATAAAAGAATATTTCAGTGGGTCTTAAGCATCCTTATGTCACAACAATGCCACTGCAGAGTTTCCTGTGTCAAGCTGCTACTGTACTTTCTAGAACATTTAACAATAGCAAGAAACTCCTCTCTAGTGGGGTTCTCTCTCTCTTGAATGTGAACTCTACCATGCAATCATTAAAGCTTAAAAAAAAAGTTTTGAGATGCATATCTCAGCTTTGCCATCTATTGTTAACATATTCTGGAAAGGGCAAAAGCTTAGTTCAACATTTTCAAGCCAGAAAGAATACTTTTCTTAACTTTATTAACACACCATCTGTCAAAATTAGAATTAGCTTCTTTATGTTCTACAAACTCCCACCTCTTTCCGGGAGATGTGGGACCACCACGAGAGAAAGGCCAACTATTAGAAAATAAAAATTAGACATTCCAGGCTGCGGAGATGGTTCAGAGGTTAAGAGCACTGGTTGCTCTTCTAGAGGTCCTGAGTTCAATTTCCAGCAACCACATGGTGGCTCACGACCATCCATAATGAGATCTGGTGCTGTCTTCTGACATGCAGGCATACAGGCAGGCAGAACAGTACATACATAATTAATCTTTAAAAAAAAAATAGACATTCTTCTGTACTGCATATTCTAGGTCAGCCTACTAGAAGAACCACACAAAAGAACATGGGTGAAGTGGTTTGTTTTCATTGTTTTGGTTAACCTTTCAAATCCTTTCTGGCCTTTACAGGAGAATCAGTGATGAAATTGGGGTTAGTGAAAGTTCATAACAGCATATATACAATTTAGCCAGTGAAGGAGGATGTTGGTCAGAATATTTTTGGAAAGAAAAAAAGAAATGATTTTCAGAAGCAGGTCACCTGAAAGTGAAGTACAGTTGGCCATCTGCCATTTTCCCAGAAGATGGACTACAACACTAAACATCTCAACCTGAAGAGAGACTACACAGAGCCACAGATTCACAAGCAAACGTGTAAAAGATTCTGGAATGCTGACTAGCTTGATATTATGCAGGTAACTGCAGCAGTTATGAGTTTGTGGGCATAGCAACCCTCTTGTCCAGAAGGTATTGTTTTGCTCTGGTTCTCCCCAGTCTTTTGCTCTTGCAATTATTCTGATCCTTTTCCACATTGGCCCCTAAGCATCGTAGGTAAGAGTATGATACAGAAATCTGGTTTATTTTCTAGACTTTGACCAGACGTGAGTTTCTGCACTAACTGCCATCTTCTGCATCGAGATACTTCTTTGCTGAAGTCTGAGAGCTCTGTCAATATACAGGTATAGAAATATGAATTAAAGAGTGCATCTTGCTACTATGTCCATTTACGAAACAACAGTAGTAGGCTCGCCCCCTAGGGCCTGTGAACTCAACCATGGGTTCTTGGTCAGATTTATAGTACCAGGCATGTGTCTCCTCCTATGGGCCTTAAATCTAATTGGTTTCAACCATAATAGTGTGCCACTATTGCATCCATAAAACCATTCTGGCATGCTGGTTGTTATCTCTGTAATCTGCAGCTTACAGAGTTCATCAGTGGGTGAGACTGTTGGTGACTTTTCTTCTCTAGTAGCCTGCATGGCACCTTCTGGCACTGTTGAAAGCTGACCAGCCGTAAAAAGCTTCCTGATTAGTACCAACTTGTTCTTTCCACATCCTGTGATCAAAGAATATGGTATTTTCCGCAATAGGATCACAACATCAAGTTCAGGTAAATAACCAAGAGCAAACAGCAAGAGCCTGGATTGTTTGGGAGGTATTATCAAGATATTTCAACCAACAACTCAAGGGGATATACACTTCATCTGGCACTGGGCTTTTCTTTAGTTTCCAATGGCTTCTGCGGAGAAAATTATCCCTTCTGTAGGACAATTCCCACTGAATTCACTATTCCCTACCCCTATCTGAAGAGCTACCGACTGTTGATGGCCTCTGGGAGACAGACCGTTTTCCTTAAGGGTATGGTCCTGGCAGATGGCCTCCATACCTAAGGGCAGCACAAAGTGGACAAACAAAACAGAGGGCATGAAGTTGGGGGGGAAGGAATCTGAGAATAAATTAACTAGGGAGAGGAGTGAGGAATGATTGAAATATCTGTATGAAATTATCAAAAGTTAATAGATATTGTTTTAAAATATTAAAAAACTTATCTTATTTTCTCTTGGCTGTTCCCACTGAGGGTCTAGTCAGCCCCCTCCTGCCCCTCCATCTTGAGATTCTGCAAGCTCAGATTCAACCAACTGCAGACTGAAAACACTGGTGCAGGGAGCCAGTGTACCTGTATTCTGTCACGGTTCTCTAAATGATATGATGTCGAAACTACAGCACTTCTACTAAGTGTCAAAGATACGTAGAGGCCATGGAAAGCACACAAGAACGAGTGCACTGCATATGTCACTTAATTTAAAAATTACCTTTTTCCAAGTCAATATCTTACTATGTAGCTCAGGCTGATCTGGAAATCAGATCCTCCTCAGTATCAGGATTATGGGCAAGCACCCCAGGCCCATCTCAGGCCAGTTTATACAGACTTGAGTATCTTCTGCTTCTGATATCCAAGAGGGGGTAGGGCTCCGTTACAATCCCTGAGTGGATACCAATTCCTCACATCCAGAGAGTAGCATGCTTGGATGCTGACCTGCCAAAAGGCTACAGCTAGGAAGTTCTGAAGGAAGCTCCTCTCCTCCCTCCATGCCACTCTACTTCTCCTTCATCACCTAGGAAACAAGGGGCTACAGTGATCCTGGTGGTCACTCAATCACCTTTGAACAGAACTATGCCAGGAGCAGAGGACTTATGGGAACTTATTTCAAACTCAAGAATCTGTTTAACACCAACATGCCAGCCACCAAAACCACTCTGGAAAAAGACACTATAAACACTGACCACACAAACCAGGGTACCACATTAGAGTACAAGCAAGTAGTGGTGGCAATTAGCACCCTATTTCTTCTTAGTGTAATGGGGGTGCTTTAAAATAAGACAGTGGCAAGGAATGGAGAAGCCACTCTACTCAAAGTACACTAAGAATCGACAAGTGCTATGTAAACTAGACACCACAGGACTGTGTGTGTGACAGCATTCATGTGAAGGAAGTTTTTGTTGTGTTTGTTTGGTGAGCACCTCTGCTGTCAGATGCAAATACACAGTCACCCCACGTCTAATGCACAAATCCTTCAGTCATACTTCCAAAATGCAGAAACAACCCACATCGAATAGATTAGCAAACTACACAAGATGCCTGTTGGCACCTGTTCCTCCCGTGGTGTGAGAAGGGCAGGAGGAGAAACAGCATTTCAGCCATTCCTGAAACCTCTTCTCAATGGAATTCTGGGAGAGAGCTCTACCACCCACCAGCAAGACAAGTCAGAGCTGTAAATCACATGGAGAATGAGCCCTCAACAAAGACCTACTATGAGCTCTCAGCCCAAAGACCTACTACTTACTCCTTACTTTGCACCTCTCTTCACAGGAAAGAAATGTCTGGAAAATGGTGTTGTTTAATTTCTATTTTTAATCATGTGTACATGTCTATGTCTGGGTCTGGGTGTGCGGATAGTGTGCAGGTGCAAAGGCTAGAGGAGTCCCTAGTTGCTAGCTGGAGTTGTAAACAGCTGTGCACCATCCCATATGGGTGCTGGGGACCAAACTCGGATCCTCTCCAAGAGCACTGGACACTCTTAACTACAGAGTCATCTCTAACACCTCCCCCCCGCCCCCCCTCCCCCGCACACACACTAACACACACCGACACATTTGTGGTTTGTTTTTCTCTTATTTTATACCTGGAAATTTTCTCAAATGAGAAATAGAAAAGCCTGGGATTCATAAGGAAGCACCAAATAACAACCATCGATTCTTCTTTTGTTTATGAGTTCTACTGGATCCCTATTTCACATATGGCTAAAGGCAGTCCACTAAATGCCAAGTCTCTGATACCCACGAAGAGGAAGCCAGGCAAATAATGGCTTGGAGAGCCTTTTCTCAAGGTATTAAAATATAGAGGTCAGTGACGCAGAGAGGGTGTTTACTTTGGTTGCTGGGACTGTTCTAGTTAGCACCTGTTGTCCCAACATAATGATGAACAGGATTCCAGGGACTCTTCATCCTTTCTTGGTATGAACAGTGGACAGAATAGCACCCTAGCCAAGAGTGGAGGGGACATGAGCAGCTGATGCCACTGCTGCATGTACCAGGTTCTGCTTTATAAAGGTCCAACAAAGAAAGGGGAAGAGTCCTGACTGAGAGGCCATGCACTGAGAAGCAGAAGAATCAAGGTCTATTGCGCATGCTTACAGCCCGGGGAATTCAGTGTCTCTTAAGCTGTACTCCTAGCTACTTTCTCCGGACACTGTAGCTAGGTGTGCATCTTGGATGCATCTTTGCATGTGCCTGCTGAGGAAAGTCCCATCTTGCCCATCCGCCTACATCTTATGGGCTGCTACAGAGGTAGAGACCACTTTGCAGTAAGCTACTGGAGTTAGCTGCCTAGAGCTAAAAGGCAGTGTTCAATCTTGGGTCACTAACCCCGCCTGGACACCAAGCCTCAGCCTTGGGCCTAAACCATGTGACTCAATGGCTACCCACCTTGACTGCTGTCTGTGGGCTTTGGGCACACTGTCAATGTTGTGCTTTAGACATTCCAGTAGGCCTGGCCTAGCCTGCGTGCTCATGGCTATGAGTCTTAGATGCTTCAGGGCAGGGCTTCTAATTGGATTACAGACACTGGCTTTTATCTAGATGGTAATGAGAGAAATCATTTTCCTTGTCTCCATACTAAAAAATAAGTCTCCGCCGTAGATGCAAGAGTTTCATATTTAGGGAACAGTCCTTCATCTAGAGCCGAGAATTATACTGCCAAGACATTATCATTTGCTATGTCAACAGGAATACAGTCCCCTGTGATGCTTCCTCCAGCAACCAAAGAGGTCTAAGCCAATTCTGATTATGCCCAATTTTAAAGCTGGTTGTTCATTTAGAATCAATAAACTGTCAGGGAAAGGCTGATAACATGGTTGGTTTTTTTCCAGGCTGGTAAACGGGGTCTTTCTGTGGCAGAACAAAAAGCCACCCATGGGAATCGCGGATAACTCTGGCTCCAGGCAACCAAGGCATCTGGCACAAGCAGATATTTAACTCCTGTACCTATCTTGTCTATTAAACAGCACAGATCCCTGTGAAGACAATAGATTAATGTCTCTAGGAGCTCAGGGACGTTTATATCAATACAAAGTATACACCGTGTCTCCTGTACCTTGCTTCCATAACACCTCTTTATCCATCCCCTGTCTGCGACCCTACAGTTTATCTAAAAGGTGAGGAACAGTAGGCACAGACTCAAAGAAATTACAAGGCTGGACAATGCCTGGGTTTTGATATGTTTGGGGCAGGAGAGATGCTGGTTAACAAATAAGAGTATATGTGGTTCTACTGTGATACCTGAGCAGAACTTCATGACCTCAGTTTCTTAGGGTCACCTCAGTGATGGATTATGCTGGGTGCATGCTAGATAAAAGAGTGTCCGGTTTCCCTCGGAGGTTTGGGGCTAGTTGCTAGCACATATATATTGAATATCCTTTGCTTAATGAGCTGCCCAGTTTGGAGGAAATGGGGGCTTTCCCTTCAACTGCTTGTGTGTTGCAATGCCATGGAGACCCAGCTGTACAGGAAGTACACCACCACAGGAGAGCTGCCTCTGCCTGGATGAAACTCCAACCACAGAGCTCTGGCATGTGACCAGACAGCAAGTTCCTAGTGAGGAAAGCCTGGTTTTGTCCTCCTACCTACATGGACTGGATAGAGGATAGAGAGGTCACGGCTCCCAAGTGCAAACTTTCTAAAACCTTATAAAAACTTGGTGTGTGTGTATGTGTGTGTATGTGTGTGTGTGTGTGTGTGTGTGTGTGTGTGTGTGTGCGCGCCTGCTGATGATAAGTGACAGGAGCTATCACCAAGACAATGAGCTTCAATACAAAAAGGTCTGTGGCTGCTGTACACCAGCTTATAGTTGTTTAATCTTCTCTAGTAATGGAAGCAGGGTTTATCTTTGAGATGACTTGGTTGCCTGCTCTTTGATTACTTCCTCCTGGTGGGGAGGCCTTGCCAGGGCACAGAGGAAGAGGATGCAGGCAGTCCTGATGAGACTTGATAGGCTGGGGTCAGTTGGTAAGGGGGCAGAGCTCCCCCTTTCTGAGGACTAGTAGAGGGGGGTGGGAGAAGAGAGAGGGAGGGAGGGACTGAAAGGGGGGAGGGAGCTGTAATCAGATTGCAAAGTGAATAAATTATAAAAAGTAAATTAAAAAAGAGAAATTTAAAAATTAAAATAAAATGGACATAAAATATTGAGGTTTCAGGCTGCACATTAAAGTAGAAAAGAAAAAAATAAAATAAAAAGCAGTCCCTTCTGTTTCTAGTATGGCAAAAACATATCAATAAAACCCTTAGGCCAACAGGGTGTGTCTTCCCTAGAAAGTGTAGCATATGCTCTGTGTGGATGTTGATTTGCATGCGTGCATTCCCTGTCCGTCCGCCTGGGGAGAAGGCTGTAGCCAGCTCACAGTCTCTGCTTTTCTGGCACTGATCAGTGAATCAGAGCCGCCTGCAAAATCAGATCGTTACAGATTTTCTGCAGGCTTTTCTGATTTAATGGTCTCCTCACTGTCCTTTGAAGTAAAACCCACTTAATTCTACAATGACAGTGAAGAACTCACTTGGGACAAGGATGGGGTTCAGTTGGACCCTAATAGCTTATCAACAAAGTTCTACATTAATGCTATTGGGTGGCGACTCATATTTTTGGTTGTACAAACCTGAAAATAGACTAAAACCTATGGCTCAATATGTACGTTTAAAATGAGTAAACTATGTGGCTTATGAATTATGCATCTGTAAAGCTTTAATTTAAAATTTTTATTTTGTTTTTTTTTTTTTTACTTTATCAACAAAGTAAAATATCACACATATAAAACAGGAAAAATAAGTTTCTATTTTGCTGCTGGAGATGACTGACTTTTCAAGGCTTATGTACACATGGTTGAACTTGGCTTTGGGTTATCACAACCTCAGAGCCAGAATCTGCAGCAGCAAGGAGCAAGGGCCAGTGGGATGGGGGATGGGGGGGAGGGGGGAAGGGTGGACGACTCACTTGGAACAAGGGCTGATCACAGTCGGTGTAGGTGGGTAAACCAGAGCCACATTCACTCGCTCGCTGCCATTCTTGGGGCAAATGATCTCTGCCACCCCTTCTGGCCTGGGCTGGCTCAGCAACTCGCCTGTAAAGAGGAGAAGAAAGGCCATTAGGAAACAGGCCCCAGAGAGCAGGACTACTTTCCACAGAGAAACACTCTCAAAGGGGGAAGGGAGGCAGAAGGCAGGTAGTGGGGAAGAAAATGGTCTACAGGCATGGAGACAGAGAACCAACATTATAGCCAGCATGGCTGGACTGTAGGACTCCAGCTCCAGCTGCCCAGATGCTCAGAACATTACCCAGAGAGGGTTCATACATGATGATGGCGGTGGCAGAAAGGTATGCCCTCCAAAGGAAGCCCCGGCCACAATCCTGCTCACCTGGCTCGCCTTTCTTTTCAGACCGAGATCTTCCCACCAGCCAGGCGGGGCTGCCAATGAGGGACTCCTAATTAAGATCTGGGCATATGGGATTCTGGCAGAGCTAGCAGGCATGTGACAAAGCAGGCATGTGCAAATGATCTGGGCATGTGGCAGGCTCAAGGTGTTACCAAGGTAAACAGCAGGACCACAGTCCAGCCTTCCTTTGCCTGGAGCAAGAGAATTTCCCTGCACGGAGTGGAAAGTGCACAGAATGAGCACATGACTAAGGGCGGGCCTAGTAGAAACAGGTGATGAACTTAATGAATTAACTGTATACTTAAAAGATGCCGGACACTGGGCACACCTGCAGACCACTTCTCTGCCATGAGAAGGAGGAGCAGAAACTCCCATCCTCTTGGTAGGTCCCTCATCTGTGCACCTTGTCCTTCCTCCTCCTATCCTCAGGCCCAGTTCCCACAGGCTTCTCTGCTTCAAGTACTCAGTCGACAGGGTCTGGCTACTGATTGTCCTTATTTTGCTTAGACCTAGAAGTAAATAGCTCCAACTGAGAATATAGAAGGTATCCCAAACAGGGGAAAGGCCCTACTGAAATTCATCAGGTTTGATGACCATTTGGAGTCCTAGAGACTTCAAACTCTATGCTGGCACATAAGGATAGAAAGTTCTTCTATTTAAAATCCTGTGGTTTGGACCAGTAAGGTGCCTCTGTGTGTGATGTACTTTCAGCAAAAGCCTGATGACCTGAATTCAATCCCCAGAACCCACATAAAGGTGGAAGGAAAGAATGGACTCCACAAGGTTGTCCCCTGTCTTCCTATACATGCGCTCACACTGACTCAGAACCCTGGAGTGCACGTCACATCAGCATTTGCCATGTCCCACTGAGCACACATCCTCATTTTACAAATGAGGAATTTGCTGCCTCACTTAAGGTTTCTACTGCCATGCTAAACACCATGACCATTAACAAGTCAGGGAGAAAAGAGCTGGTTATAGCTTATACCTCTCGGGTCCCATTGCTCAGGGACATCTGGGCAGGAACTCAAACAGAAAAGAAACCTGGAGGCAGGAGCTGATGCAGAGATGGTGGAGGAGTGTTGCTTACTGGCTTGTTCCAGCCCTCTGGACCACCAAGCCAAGCCAGAGGTAGCACCGCCCACAGTGAGCTGGGCCCTCTACATCAATCACCAATCAAGAAAACGCACTGCGGATGGCTTGTGTCAAACTGACATGACACTAGCCATCTCAGTAAAGTTCTAAGACATACCCAGCAGCCAGAGTTAATTCGTGGCAGACATGGGAACAGGGGCTTGAAATCCCTCTGCTACCAGCACCTCCCCAAAGCAGGGGCAACTTTAACATCTTTCTTGGAGGGGCTGTCTAACTAACATCACTGTTTTAAAATGAATTTAGGCACTGACATAATTTATACCTTTAGAGGCACATTCATTCCCTGAATGGAAAGTTGCTCTGTGGCTTTGCACAATAAGAGCAGAATCTAATTTTAGTCCATTCACCAAATTACTGCAAAATATCGAACTATTGCAAAAGCTAATTTAGCACAGTTAGCTGGTCCCATGGACACCTATGTGTCAGAACTGTGTGTCCTCCAACAGCGGCTGGGAAATGATCAGAAACAGAAAGAGATCAGCTACAAATGGAAACAGTAAATGGTGTCAGAGTAACATAATGGACCAGAGTAAAAGCAAGTCGGAGCTAGAGCTGGCTGACACCTGGAAGCCATCCAGCCTAGCATCACTTGGTTAAGCCAGATGTCTGTGTTTTAATAGAGTTGCTAGGAGCGGCAAGTCTGGGAAATCTAAGCGGCCTACAGTGAGTCTGAGTCGCAGTACCAGAGTACCACCAGGGCCAGGGTGCTTTCAGCTGGTCAAGGCCAGCTCTCTCCTTGGCTCTTCTTTGGTGTTTTTCATTTAGAATCCTGAGATCAGCACATACCACCCTACTCCAGAAGCCTGGGTAACCCTGTTTCCCCCCTGGAAATTCTCTCCTGACTGATTGCCTCACAGGCCTCAGCTCCATCTGCTCTGAGCTGCCTTACTCTCCAGATAATGGCTGCAGGTGCCAAGCCCTATCCCTTGCACGGGTCCCTGGCACCAGCCACACACAGCTGTTTTATTGTTGGTGATAGTAGCCTTTGGTGAGCACCAGGCCAGTTTCTACAAGACAGAACGGGAAATAATTTGCAGACTTTTAAGCCGTGGGTACCACCTTCTATAAAACCAGCAGCTTTGCCCCGCTACTGATAGAGCCAGGTAGATGGTTTGGTTTAGGGATGGGTGCACCTCAGAGGTCAGAATGTGGTCCCCAGGGTGGCAGGTCAGGGAAGTAGGTGGATCTTCAAAGCTGAGGCCGTGAGGCATGCCAGTGGGATTGTGGACCCTGAGTCTTCTCTCTCTCTCTCTGCTTTCTAGCTTGAGAAAGAAACTGCTTGCTCTGTCTTGTACTCCAGCAATGATGTGTTGTTTTTGAGCAAAGCCTAAACTTTTGGAGTCTTGGGTTTGGCTCCAAAATTATAAGCCTAAATAAATATGTCTTTACTTCAAAGGAAGCCCATGGCTATTTTCCATGATACCCAGTAAGCCAGTGGTTCTCAATCTTCCAAATGCTGTGACCCTTTAATGCATTCCTTATGTTATCAAGATCCCAAAATAAGATTATTTTTGTTGCCACTTCCGAACTGTCATTTTGCTACTGTTCGTGAGTTGTACTGTAAACATCTGAGTTTCCAGATGTTTTCAGGCAACCCTTGTGAAAGAGTCTTTTGACCTCAAAGTGGCTGCGACCCACAGGTTGAGAACCCAGTGGTCAGCTGCATCAAGACAAAACTGAGTATCTCCTTCCCGGCAGCTGTCTGTCAGAAACTCATTACAATCAAGTGTGCACACAAACTCCATACTTTCTCTGAGAAGCTCATGGTTGCAGAAGTAGCTGGTTGATGCTATGGGTGAAGACAAGAAGGATGGGTATCTGGTGGGAAGGACAATGAAGTAGAGCATCTAGACCCATGGCAAAGTGTTATAGACCAAGGAGAACTTGAGAGAGGAAGAGTGGGACTGTTTGGGATGTACTGTGGATGCCAATCCAAGTGTTCTCAACTTGGTTATTGTAAGTAGACAGAAGGATATTTTCCTGGACTGACAGGTACTGCTGTCGCTTGGTGTTTGGGGCCCAAAAGAGCTAGCAGATTCCAAAAGCCTTTTAATCTCTCTAAAGAAGGTAATATTGGCCAATATTGTCAGAAAGAACTTAGACAAAGGGCAGAAGTTCAGGGCCAGAGACCCCAAGGCTCAGCATCTTTGCCACTCCACGGGTCCGGCAACAAAAATGCCAACATATCGTCCCGAAGAAATAAGAAGAAAGAAGAGAGAAAAATGAGGATGCTGAAAAATATGCTGAACTTTTCTCCAAGAGAATGAGGAAGAAAGAGCATTATGCAAACCACTAAAGATGTATTATAACAACAGTGCAAGTCACTGTGTTGAAAGTCAATATATTGGTTCGGTAGAAACAATGGGATCATGGTTAAAGATGCCTGGTGAAAATATGCAAAACAAACAAATAAAAAAAAGCTGTCCAGCACTTAAATAAAGTTTATGCAGATGATATCTGGGAGAAAAATGAGCACCTAAGCCATAAGAGAAGAGATTGAGTGAGTGTATGACTCAGTTAAGGTGTAGTCAGGAGACAGACAGACGGCACAGTCCCAGCTAGTAGGAACAAACCTTATTGACACACAGGGTTTAGCAGCTCACAGGGATTACAAGAGAACATTAAAGGCTGAAGAGAAATAAATATTCAGGGGAAAGAAACATGGCAGCATAGGTGGTGCTCCATGAGGCTGGGGTTCTGGCCTCACTGGACAGTGTGTGCTAAAAGTTCCTGGACTGTGAACTTTGGCCTCTGTGTTTACCCATTCAGAATAGTCCATGGTGAGCTGACCAACTAGTAGGCTGGAACTGTCCTCTGGTGCCAACAAAATCTCAGGTAAGCTGTCTCTGTAGGTGTGTTACCTTTTAAAGGTAAAACATTCACCACAGGTTTGTATGTTTAAACACGTGGTCCCCAGCAGATGGCGATGTTTTGACAGGCTGTGGGATGTAGGCTGTTTTTGAGATGCAGGGTAGAAGTGAGCCCCCAGGGGCAGGCCTCTGGGGTTTTCAATCTAGCTCTGCCCGCTCTCTCTCCCTTTCTCATTTATTGGAGGTTGGTCTGATGCATGCTACTGGCCCTCAAGATCTGGTTACACCTATCCTTGTTCAGTAAACCTGCCTAAGACATACCTGATTGGTTGATTTAATGGCCCCCAGTACCTGGTAGGTGTGGCTAAGGTTCCCGGCTTCAAGAGAACAAGAGAATCACAAGACAGATGGGAAGAGAGGAGAAAGGAGGAAGCCATAATGGGTTAGTGTGGAGAAAAAAAAACAAAAAACAAAAAACCATGGACTGGGAGGAAGGACTCCAATAATGGTGTGAAAAGGCCCGGACGAAGAATACAAGCAAATACCATGGGATTACAGATGGAAGGGAGACCAGATGAGGATTAAGGTGGATGACACTGGTTGGGGGCTGGGAGATGGATGGTGAGGCTACTGAGACTATGTAGGTGAAATATCTGCCCCACCCAAGGTAAATAAAGCAATTATAAAATCTAACAGGTGCCTGTGTCTTATGATTTGGGATA